CCTCCCAGTCCTCCCCAGTCCCTCCCAATCCTCCCAGTCCTCCCAGTCCCTCAGATCCCTCACCCCTCACACTGGGGGTCTCCGTTCTCTCCCGGCGCGGGGGTCGGGGGGGCAGCCTGGGGGGGTTTGGGGAGGAGGATCAGAGAGGCGACCAGTGTCCCCGGAAACCCCAAAAACCCTCAAATCCCCAAAAAACCCCTCAAAAACCCAAAAACCCCAAATCCTTCAAAACCCAAATCCCCAAAAACACCAGACTCTCCCAGAAACCCCAAATCCTCAAACACCTCCAAATCCCCAAAACCCCAAATCACTTAAAAACCCCAAATCTCCTCAAAACCCCGAAATCCCTCAAAAAATCCCAGATCCTCAGAAGGCCAAATCCCCTCAAAAGCCCCAGGTCCTCAGAAAACCTGAGTCCTCAAAAATCCCCAGAAACCCCCAAATCCTAGGTCCTCAAAAAAACCCAAATACGCTTAAAAAACCCAAATCTCCTCAAAACCCCCAAAACCCTCAGAAAACCCCAAATCCCCTCAAAACCTAAATCCCTCAGAAGCCCCAAATCCCTAAGAGCTCAAATCACGAAACGCCTTCAAAACGCCCCCAAATCCCCCAAAAAAACCCACCCAGAGCCCCAAAAGCCCCCAAAAAAACCAAAAACCCCAAAAACCCCCAAAAATCACCCCCCGCCTCGCGCCGCCTCCATCCGGGTCCTCAGTGACGTCACCGAACGCGACCCCCGGAAGCGCCACCGCCCCTGCAGGCGGGGTTCGTCAGTGACGTCATCACCGAGCGCCCACAGCTCCCCCTTCCCTTCCAGGACCCCCAAAATTTCCCCAAAAATCCCACCCAGACCCCCCCCCAAATCCCCCGGGTTCCCCCCCTCCCCCTCGCCGCCTGGTTCCCCACTCCCCCAGCCAGGACCCCCGAATTCCCCCAAACACCCCAAAGGACCCCTCCCAGGACCCCAAAAACCCCCAGACCCCCGGGCGCTTCAGAGACCCCAAAAATTCCCCCCTCGAAACCCACCCTCAGCCGCCTCGCCGTGGCGTCATCGCCGCGCGACGACGCAGCCGCGACGTCACTTCCGATGTAACGGCTCTTCCGATATGACGTCACTTCCGAAGTGACGTCACTTCCTATGTGACGGTATTTCCAATGTGACGTCATTTTCCCGCGCCGCCCTCGATCCCGTTCCCGCTTCCGAGACCCCCCAAAATCCCCCAAAATCCCCCAAATTCCTCCCAGGACCCTCCAAGCCCCCCCTAAATCCATCCCAGGACCCCCCAGGAAGCCCCCAGCCCCCTCTTTGCCCCCGCCATGTCCGGGGGTCCCGGGGCGGTGCCCGGGGGGGTCCGGCGGGCCCGGCAGCTCCTGCACGTGTCGGTGCTGGCCCAGAGCGCGGCCCCGTGCGGGCGGTTCCTGGCGGCGGGGAACGACCTGGGGGACATCGCTGTCTTCAGGTACCCAAAAAACCCAAAAAACCCCAAATTCACCCCAAAAACCCACCCTGGGAACGACCTGGGGGACATCGCCGTCTTCAGGTACCTAAAAAACCCAAAAACCCTCCAAATCCACCCCAAAAACCCTCCCTGGGAACGGCCTGGGGGACATCGCTGTCTTCAGGTACCAAAAACCCCAAAACCCCAAAAAAAACCCAAATCCACCCCACAACCCCAAATCCATCCCAAAACCCCTCCCTGGAACGACCTGGGGGACATCGCCGTCTTCAGGTACCCAAAAACCCCAAAAACCCCCAAATTCACCCCAAAAATCCACCCTCGGAACGGCCTGGGGGACATTGCCGTCTTCAGGTACCAAAAAAACCCAAAAACCAAAAAAAAACCCCAAAAATCCCTCCCTGGGAACGACCTGGGGGACATCGCTATGTTCAGGTACCAAAAAAACCCCAAAAACCCCAAAAACACCCCAAAAACCCCACCCCGGGAACGACCTGGGGGACATCGCTGTCTTCAGGTACCGAAAAAACCCCAAAAACCCCCCAAAACCCCAAAAACCCACCCTGGGAACGACCTGGGGGACATCGCCGTCTTCAGGTACCTAAAAAACCCAAAAACCCCCAAATCCACCCCAAAAACCCCAAAAACCCACCCTGGGAACGACCTGGGGGACATCGCTGTGTTCAGGTACTCAAAAGCCCCAAAAAAACCCCAAAAACCCCCCCAAAAAACCCAAAACTCCCCCAAAACCCCCTCCCTGGGAACAGCCTGGGGGACATCACTGTCTTCAGGTCCCCAAAAACCCCAAACCCCCCCAAATTCACCCCAAAAACCCCCTCTCCCCTCCCCCCCCGCAGCCTCTCGGCCGCTCTGAGCGCGGAGGCCAAAGAGGAAAATCGGAGACCCCTGAGCGTCTTCAGGGGTGAGACTGGGGGGACTGGGAGCACTGGGGGGGACTGGGGGGGACTGGGAGCACTGGAAGGGACTGGGAGGGCATTGGTGGACACTGGGAGGGACTGGGGGGGACTGGGAGGGGATTGGGAAAGAATTGGAGGGGATTGGGGGCACTGGGAGGACACTGGGAGGGACTGGGGGGACTGGGAGGGCACTGGGAGGGGTTGGGGGACACTGGGAGGGACTGGGAGGGATTGGGGGGCACTGGGAGGGACTGGGAGGGGACTGGGAGGGACTGGGGGCACTGGGTACACTGGGAGGGATTGGGATGAACTGGGAGAGGATTTGGGGGCACTGGGGGGCACTGGGAGGGACTGGGATAAACTGGGAGGGGGTTGGGGGACACTGGAAGGGACTGGGAGGGGATTGGGAGGGACTGGGAGGCACTGGGAGAGGATTGGGGGGCACTGGGAGGGACTGGGGGGCACTGGGAGGGACTGGGAGGGGATTGAGGGGCACTGGGGGGCACTGGAAGGGACTGGGATGAACTGGGAGCGGATGGGGGGGAACAAGATCTGTACTGGTCCTTACTGGTCTTTACTGGTCCAAACTGGCCTGTACTGGTCCGTACTGGTTCTCACTGGTCCGTACTGGTCCGTACTGGTCTGTACTGGTCTGTACTGGTCCTTACTGGTCCGTACTGGTTTGTACTGGTGCATACTGGTCCGTACTGGTCGCAGCTCACTCGGGCCCCGTTTACTCCTTGGCCTCGACCGAGCGGCTCCTCCTGAGCGGCAGCGACGGCGAAGTCCGGGGGTGGGGCTGGGCCGAGCTGGGACGCAAGGTGGGACCCCAAAACTGCCCTAAAACACCCCAAAAAACCACCCTGGGACCCCCAAAACCCCCCCTCAAAACCCCAACCCACCCAGGGACCCAAACACCCCAAAAACACCCCAAAAACCCAGCCCGGGAACTGAGGGGGTGGGGCTGGGCTGAGCTGGGACGCAAGGTGGGGACCCAAAAACACCCCAAAATACCCCAAAAAACCCCCCCAAAACCCCCCCAAAACCCCCACCCAACCAGGGACCCAAAACACCCCAAAACCACCCAAAAACACCCCAAAAACTCAGCCAGGGAACTGAGGGGGTGGGGCTGGGCCGAGCTGGGACGCAAGGTGGGACCCCAAAAACACCCCAAAAACACCCCAAAATACCCCAAAATACCCCCAAAAACCCCCCCAAAATACCCCAAAAACCCCCACCCAACCAGGGACCCCAAACACCCCAAAAACCCCCCCAAAAACCCAGCCCGGGAATGGAGGGGGTGGGGCTGGGCCGAGCTGGGACGCAAGGTGGGACCCCAAAAACACCCCAAAACACCCCAAAATACCCCCAAAAACCCCCCCAAAATACCCCAAAACCCCACCCAACTAGGGACCCCAAACACCCTAAAACCCCAAAACCCAGCTCGGAACTGAGGGGTGGGGCTGGACTAGCTGGGGGCAAGGTGGGACCCAAAACACCCCAAAACACCCCAAAATACCCCAAAAACCCCCAAAACCCCCCAAAACCCCCCACCCAACCAGGGACCCAAAACCACCCCAAAATACCCCAAAACCCCCCCAAAACCCCCACCCAACCAGGGACCCGAAACACCCCCAAAACCACCCCAAAAACACCCCCAAAACCCCAACCCAACCAGGGACCCCAAAACCACCCCAAAAACACCCCAAAAACCCAGCCCGGGAACTGAGGGGGTGGGGCTGGGCCGAGCTGGGACGCAAGGTGGGACCCAAAAACACCCCAAATACCCAAAACACCCCTGAAACCCCAACCCAACCAGGACCGAAACACCCCCAAACACCCCAAAATACCCCAAAAACCATCCTGGGACCCCCAAAAACCCCCCAAAAACCCCAACCCAACCAGGGATCCCAAACACCCCAAAACCCCCAAAACCACCCCAAAACACCCCCAACCACCCAGGGACCCCCTGGACCCCCCCAGAGACCCCCCGACCCCAAAACACCCCTAAAATACCCAAACCCCCTCAGGACCTCCCCCAAGGACCCCAAATCCCCCCTGTGGTTTTGGGGTCCCTCTGACCCCTTTCCCTCCCAAAGGGCTGTCGGGAGCTCTGGACCCGCCGCCCCCCTGCAGGTAAAGGGGGTTTGGGGAGCTTGGGGGCCTCTAGCACAATTGGGGACCCCCAGACCCCCAGGAGGAGGTGGGAGGAAGCAGGACCCCTCCCCCCTAAATCCCCAAATCCCCCCAAAAAATCCCCTTTCCCCCAGGAACAGTTTGGAGGTGCCTGAGATCAACGGGCTGGAGGTGAACCAGAGGGTAAGTGAGACCCAAAAACCCCTCGAGACACTCCAAAAATACCCCAAAACACCCCAAACACCCCAAAACAGCCCCAAAACCCACCCTGGGCCCCCCAAACCACCCTGAGCCCAAACCCCCTCTCAAAACACCCCCCAAACACCCCAAAACACCCCAAAAACCCTGAACCCAAACCCTCCCAGAAACCCCAAAACCCCCAAACACCTCCAAAACCCCCAAACCATCCTGAGCCCAAACCCCTCTCAAAACACCTCAAAACACCCCAAAAATCCCCAAAACACCCCAAAACACCCAAAAATCCCCAAAACACCCCCAAACACCCTGAGGCCCAAACCCTCCCAAAATACCCTAAAACCCCCAAAACAGCCCCAAAAATCCCCCAAAACCCACCCAGACCACCCTGAATCCAAGCCCCCCAGAATCTCAAAACCCCCAAAAATACCCCAAAACGGCCCCCGAACACCCTGAGCCCAAACCCCCTCCCAAAACACCCCAAAAAATCCCCCAAAACCACCCTGAACCCAAATCCTCCCAGAGATCCATAGAACCCCCCCAGGACCCAGCCCCCCCAAATCCCCCCAGGATCACTGGGTGGCCCTAAAAGAGGATTTGGGGGATTTTTGGGTCCCCCCGAGGATTTGGGGGGCTGTGGGTGCTGGGGGGGATTTGGGGAGGTTTGGGGGTCTGTGGGGTGCTGGGGTGTTTTGGGACCCCTGAGCCTCCCAAACCCCCTCAGGATCTCTGGGTGGCCCTAAAAGAGGATTTTGGGGATTTCTGGGTTCCCCAGAGGATTTGGGGGCTGTGGGTCCTGGGGAGGGTTGGGGGGGATTTGGGGGTCTGGGGGTGCTGGGGTTTGGACCTTCTGACCCCCTGACTCCCCCAAACCCCCCAGGATCTCTGGGTGGCCCTAAAAGAGGATTTGGGGGATTTTTGGGTCCCCTGAGGATCTGGGGGCTGGGGTTGTTGGGGGTTGGGGGGTTGGGGGGTCTGGGGGTGTTGGGGGTTTGGGACCTCGACCCCTCAAATCCCCCAGGATCACTGGGTGGCCCTGGCCGGGGGACGGGGCCGTTCGGGTGCTGGACCTGGAGACGGGAACCTTCACGGTGAGGCCTGGGGGTCCTGGGGGATTTGGGGGGATTTGGGGGGTCAGTGAGGGGAATTTGAGGGCGTCCTGGGGAGATTTGGGGGTCCTGTGGGGTCCTGTGGGGAATCTAGGGGCCTGGAGGGGATTTGGGGGCCTGGGGGAATTCGGGGGTCTGGGGGGAATTTGGAGGGGTCCTGGGGGGAATTTGGGGGGGTCCTGGGGGAATTTGGGGGTCCTGGGGGGTTTGGGGGGTCCCAGAAACGGGGTGACCCTTCTTTGCCCCCCCAGCACGAGCTGAGGGGGCTGCAGGGATGGGGTGGGTAGGAGCGGGATTTGGGGGGGATTTGGGGGATTCAGAGGGCTCTGAGGGGTCCCAGAAGGGGTGACCTCTTGCTTAGCCCCCAGCACGAGCTGAGGAGGTGCTGGGATGGGGGATTTGGGGGCTCTGGGGGATTTGGGGGGTCCCAGAAGGCGGGTGACCCTTCTTTGCCCCCCCAGCACGAGCTGAGGGGGCGCTGGGATGGGGGATTTGGGGGTCCTGGGGGATTTGGGGGTGCTGGGGGTCCCAGAAGGGGGTGACCCTCTTGCTCCCCCTCGACCCCCCAGCACGAGCTGAGGGGGCACCAGGACCTCGTCCACGCCGTGGGCCCTTCGGGAGCAGCTCCCGCAGATCCTGTCGGGGGGGAAGACGGGACCGTGAGGCTCTGGGGTGAGACCCCCAAAATAACCCCCTGGGACCCCTGGGACCCCCCCAAACCCACCCTGAGACCCCCAGACCCCTCCCAGGTCCTGTCGGGGGAGGACGGGACCGTGTGAGGCTTTGGGGTGAGACTCCCAAAAATAACCCCCAAAATTCACCCTGGGACCCCAAATACCCCCAAACCCCACCCTGAGACCCCCAACCCACTTCTGAGACCCCCAAACCCACCCTGAGACCCTCAAACCCCCTCCCAGATCCTGGTCGGGGAGGACGGGACTGTGAGGCTTTGGGGTGAGACCCCCCAAATACCCCCCAAAACTCACCGTGGGACCCCGAAATACCCCTCCAAACCCACCCTGACACCCCCAGACCCCAAACCCACCCTGAGACTCCCCAAACTCCTCCCAGGTCCTGGGTCGGGGGAGGACGGGACTGTGAGGCTCTGGGGTGAGACCCCCCAAAATAACCCCCCAAAATCCTCACCCTGGGACCCCCCAAATACCCCCAACCCACCCTGAGACCCCCAACCCACCCTGACACCCCCAGACCCCAAAACCCACCCTGAGACCCCCAAACCCCTCCCAGGTCCTGTCGGGGGGGGAGGACGGGACTGTGAGGCTTTGGGGTGAGACCTCCAAAAAATAACCCCCAAAACTCACCCTGGGACCCCTAAAACCCCCAAACCCACTCCTGACACTCCCCAGACCCCCAAACCACCCTGGGACCCCCAAACCATCCTGGGACCCCCAAACCCACCTCTAAGACCCCCCAAACTCCCCCCCAAAAATTGCCCCCCCAGATCTGCGGAGCGGAGCCCAAGTGCAGGTGATTGAGGTGCACAAGTACCCGGTGAGCACTGGGGGCACTGGGAGGCACTGGGAGGGCACTTGGGGGCACTGGAGGGCACTGGGAGGGACTGGGGGGGCACTGGGAGGGAATGCGGGGCACTGGTAGGGACTGGGAAGGACTGGGAGGGGATGGGGAGGGACTGGGAGGGGACTGGTGGGCACTGGGAAGGACTGGGAGGGGACTGGTGGGCACTGGGACAGGATTGGGGGGCACTGGGAGGCACTGGGAGGGACTGGGGGGGGACTGAGGGGCACTGGGATGGAATTGGGAGCGACTGGGTGGGCTCTGGGACGGGATTGGGGGGCACTGGGAGGGACTGGGAGAGGCTTGTCCTGGTCAAGGTGGGTTTGTACTGGTTGTCAGTGCTCAGTACTGGTCCGTACTGGTTTGTACTGGTTGTGAGTGATCAGTACTGGTCCGTACTGGTCTGTACTGGTTGTCAGTGATCAGTACTGGTCCGTACTGGTTTGTACTGGTTGTGAGTGATCAGTACTGGTCCGTACTGGTTTGTACTGGTTGTGAGTGATCAGTACTGGTCCGTACTGGTCTGTACTGGTTGTTACTGGTCTGTACTGGTCCTTACTGGTCCCTGCTGGCCCCAGGAGTGCAGCCGCCCCCAGCTGGGCAAGTGGATTCGCTGTTTGGCCACCGAGAGCGACTGGATGGTGAGGGGGGAGGGGCCAGGGGCGGGGCTAAAGAGGGGAGGGGCTGAAAGGGGAGGGGCTAAAGGGAGGGGCCGATGGGGAGGGGTTAAAAGGGAGGGGCAAAAGGGGGAGGGGCTTAAAGGGGAGAGGCTAAAGGAGGGGGCTAAAAGGGGATGGGAGGGGCTAAAAGGGAGGGACTGAAAGGGAGGGGCTAAAAGGGAGGGGCTAATGGGGAGTGGCTAAAGGGGAGGGGCTGAAAGGGAGGGGCTAAAAGGGGAGGGGTTAAAAGGGGGGAGGGGCCAAAGGGAGGTGATTTGGGGGTGACCTTTGACCTTTGGGGGTGACCTTTGACCCCCCCAGGTGTGCGGGGGCGGCCCCGCCCTGACCCTGTGGCACCTGCGCTCGGTGACCCCGACCACCGTGTTCCCCCTCCCCCCTCCCCAGCACCACGCCCTGTTCCACCAGGATCTGGTGAGTGGGGACCAGTACAGACCAGTAAAAACCAGTATAGACCACTACAGACCAGTACAGACCAGTATAACCCAGTGACCCCGACCACCGTGTTCCCCCTCCCCCCACCCCAGCACCACGCCCTGTTCCACCAGGATCTGGTGAGTGGAGACCAGTAAAAACCAGTACAGACCAGTACAGACCAGTAAAAACTAGTACAGACCAGTACAGACCAGTATAACCCCCTGACCCCGACCACCGTGTTCCCCCTGCCCCCTCCCCAGCACCACGCCCTGTTCCACCAGGACCTGGTGAGTGGGAACCAGTATAGACCAGTAAAGACCAGTACAGACCAGTACAGACCAGTACAGACCAGTATAACCCAGTGACCCCGACCACCGTGTTCCCCCTCCCCCCACCCCAGCACCACGCCCTGTTTCACCAGGACCTGGTGAGTGGGGACAAGTGTGGACCAGTATAGACCAGTAAAAACCAGTACACCCCAGTACACCCCAGTATAACCCAGTATAACCCGTAGGTGCTGGCAGGGGGGGTGCGCCCTGTCAGTTCACACCAGTTCAGACCAGTATAACCCAGTATAACCCAGTTTGACCCCCCCAGGTGCTGGCGGGGGGGGTGGGGCCCTGTCAGTTCACACCAGTACACCCCAGTATAACCCGTAGGTCCTGGCAGGGGGGGGTGGGGCCCTGTCAGTTCACCCCAGTATAACCCAGTACACCCCAGTATAACCCAGTATAACCCATAGGTCCTGGCAGGGGGGGGTGGGGCCCTGTCAGTTCACACCAGTTCACACCAGTACACCTCAGTACACCCCAGTATAACCCAGTTTACCCCCCCAGGTCCTGGCGGGGGGGGTGGGGCCCTCCCTGCACACACCAGTTCACCCCACACCAGTTCACACCAGTACACCCCAGTATAACCCAGTATAACCCATAAGTCCTGGCAGGGGAGGTGGGGCCGTCTGTACACACACCAGTACACCCCAGTATAACCCAGTTTGACCCCCCAGGTGCTGGCGGGGGGGGTGGGCCCCTCCCTGCACCTCCTGCAGCTGAGCGGGGACGTTCGGGGGAGGGTCCCGGTGACCCCCCCGGCCCTGCAGAGCCTCTGCCTGCACCCCCGCTCACCTGAGCACCAGGTACGGGGCGGGGCCAGCACGGGGGGAGGGGCCAGCATGGGGAGGGGCCTGGAGTGAGGGGGAGGGGCCTGGATCAGGGGAGGGTCCGGTGACCCCCCCGGCCCTGCGGAGCCTTCTGCCTGCACTCCCCGCTCACCTGAGCACCAGGTACGGGGCAGGGCCAGCCTGGGGCGGGGGCCAGCATGGGGGAGGGGCCAGGAGGGGAGGGGCCTGATCGGGGAGGGGCCGGACTTGCCTGCACCTCCCCGCCCACCTGAGCACCAGGCAGGGGCGGGGCCAGCACGGGGGAGGGGCCAGGCGTCTGCCTGCACCCGCTCACCTGAGCACCAGGTACGGGCGGGGCCAGCACGGGGGAGGGGCCAGGGATGGGGAGGGGGCCTGGAGCGGGGAGGGGCCAGGATCAGGGGAGGGGCCTGGATCAGGGGGAGGGTCTCGGTGACCCCCGGCCCTGGGCGGAGCCTTCTGCCTGCACCCCCGCTCACCTGAGCACCAGGTACAGGGCGGGGCCTGCTGGGGAGGGGCCAGACTGGGGGAGAGGCCAGGGATGGGGGAGGGGCCAGGATCGGGGGAGGGGCCTGGATCAGGGGAGGGTCCCGTGACCCCCGGCCCTGCAGAGCCTCTAGCCTGCACCCCCCGCTCACCTGGAGCACCAGGTACGGGGGGCGGGGCCAGCATGGGGGCAGGGGCCAGCATGGGGAGGGACCTGGAGCGGGGGTGGGGCGGGGGAAAGTGGGAGGGGTCTGCAGAGTGGGAGGAGTCTGCAGGGGTTAGAGGGAAGGGGTCTAAATGGGGGTGGGAGGAGCTTGAAGAAAGTGGGAGGGGTCTGGGTGGGGGGGAGGAGCCTGCAGGGAGAAAGTGGGAGGGGTTTAAAGAGTGGGGTGGGGTTGAATAAAGGGGGAGGGGTCAAAGGCAGGGGAGGAGCTTGGGAGGAATGGGAGGAGTGGGAGGAGCTTTGAGTGGGAGGGGCTTATGTGAATTGGGAGGAGCTTGGAGTGGGAGGAGCTTTGAGGGGGAGGAGCTTTGAGTGGGAGGAGCTTGGGGGAGTGGGAGGAGCTTGGGAGGAGTGGGAGGGGCTTTAAGTGGGAGGGGCTTGAGAATTGGGAGGAGCTTTGTGGGGAGGAGCTTGGAGTGGGAGGAGCTTTTGAGTGGGTGTGTCCTGCCCTGGCTCCTCCCCCTTCCCCTCCCCCCCAGGTCCTGACGGTGGCCGGAAACAGCCCCAAAATCGACGTCTTCACCAACCTGGGCTACCGGGCCTTCTCCCTCTGCTTCACTTGAGCCTCCCAGTATAGACCAGTATAGACCAGTGACCTCCCGTGACCTCCTACTGACCCCCCAGTACAGCCCAGTACAGCCCAGTACAGCCCAGTGATCCCCCTGGGCTACCGGGCCTTCTCATTGTGCTTCACCTGAACCCACCAGTATAAACCAGTATAGACCAGTGACCTCCCCGTGACCCCCTACTGACCCCCCAGTACAGCCCAGTACAGCCCAGTACAGCCCAGTGATCCCCCTGGGCTACCGGGCCTTCTCCCTGTGCTTCACCTGAACTGGTCCCAGTATGAACCAGTACAGACCAGTGACCTCCTGTTCCCTCCCAATCCATCCCAGTTTATTCCAGTCCCTCCCCTCCCATCCCAGTCCATCCTAGTCCATCCCAGTCCATCCCATCCCATCCCAGTCCATCCCAGTCCATCCCAGTTCGGTGCCGGCCCCGCTCGGGGTCCGTTTTTGGTTAAAAAAAATCTTTTTTTTAATGGTTGTGGTTTTTTCATTTTTGGTGTTGGGGAGGGGGCCAAAAGGGGGTGGGGAGGGGCCAGAATTGGGGTGGGGAGGGGCAGAATTGGGGTGGGGGAGGGGCAGAATTGGGGTGGGGAGGGGCAGGAATTGGGGTGGGGAGGGGCTTTAAATGGGGTGGGGAGGGGTAGAATTGGGGTTGGGGAGGGTCCAGAGGGGGTGGGAGGGGCTCAGCCCTGGGGTCCCTCCATGTTCTCGTAGGAAGCGGCGTCTGGGGGGGAGGGGCAGGATCAGCCCCCCAAATTCCCCTCCCCACCAGTCCCTCCCAGTGCCCCCAGTGCCCCCCCAGTCCTTCCCAATCCCTCCCAGTGTTCCCCAGTTCCCCAATCCCTCCCAGTCCCCTCGAATGCCCTCCCAGTGCCCCCAGTCCCCTCGCCATCCCCTTCCAGTGCCTCCCAGTTCCCCCTAATCCTTCCCAGTCCTCTCCCAGTTTATTGCAGAACCTCCCAGTGCCTCCCAGTCCCTCCCAGTACCCCCCAATTACCTCCCAGTACCCTCCATTGCCCTCCCAGTGCCCCCCAGTCCCCTCGCCATCCCCTTCCAGTCCCTCCCAGTCCCCCCAGTGCCCCCCAATCCTCCCCAGTCCCCCCCAGTGCCCTCCCAGTACCCTCCTCATCCCCTTCCAGTCCCTCCCAGTGCCCCCAGTCCCCTCAGTGCCCTCCCAGTCCCTCCCAATCTCCTTCCAGTCCCTCCCAGTCCCCCCAGTGACCCCCTAGTGAGCCCCCAGTCCCTCCCAGTGCCCCCAGTGCTCACCCTCCTCGCCGCTCCCTCCCCTGCAGGGGGTCGTGCAGAGCCCCTCCCCCGCCGCCATCACCTCGTAGGGCCACCCTGGGGGGAGAGGGGTCAGTGATGTCAGAATCGCCCCTGCCCCTCCCCTGCCCCTCCCCCTTTACCTGCCCCCCATCGATTCAGGGTCGTTCTCGTAGCTCCCTGGGGAGGGGCAGGAAAAGAAAAAGGGGAGGGGTCAGGGAGTGGGGAGGGGTCAGAGAGCCTCTCCCAACCCTCGCCCTCCCCCCACTCACCGCTCTGGGGTCCTCGTAGCCTTCGTCCTCTCCCCTCCTCCTCCTCCTCCTCCTGGGGGCCTGCAGGGGGAGGGGCCTGAGGGGGGGGAAGATTTGGGGGTCCTGGATCAGTTTGGGAGGCACTTTGGGGGTCCCGGGTTGAGGGGGGTCTGGGGCAGGATTTGGGGGTCCCAGAGGGGTTTGGGGGTCCCCAGGGTTTGGGGGTCCTGGGGGTCTTTTGGGGTCCTGGGGTTTTGGGAGCACTTTGGGGTCCCGGGTTGAGGGGAGGGGTCTGGGGCAGGATTTGGGGTCCCGGGGGCTTTGGGGGCAGTTTTGGGAGACGGTTTGGGGGTCCCAGTGGATTTTGGGGGAATCTCAAGGGGTTTTGGGGTCCTGGGGGCCTTTGGGGTCTCAGGGAATTTTCGGGGTCCTGGGGTGTTTTTGGGGGGTCCTGGGGGTGTTTTTGAGGGGGTCCTGGGAGTGTTTTTGGGGGTCCCAGGGTTTTTGGGGGTCCCAGGGTGTTTTTGGGGTCCCAGGGTTTATTTGAGGGGGGTCTCACTCACGGGGGGCGCTGGAGGGGCCTGGATGTTCCTCGTAGGATTGGGGGCCCGGGGGACACCTGGAAAACCTGGAGTGGGGGAGGGGGATCAACAATTGGGGGGAGGGGCCCACAGAGAGAGACCCTCCCCAAATAGAGACCCCCCAAATAAAAACACCCCCAATAAAGACCCCCAATAGAGACCCCCAATAGAGACCCCCAATCGAGACCCCCAAATAAAGACCCCCCAAATAAAGACACTCCCCCAATAGAGACCCCATAGACACCCCCCCATAGAGACCCCTCCCCAAATAGAGAGCCCTCCAAATAAAGACTCCCCCAAGAGACCCCCAATCGCCCCCTCAAATAAAGGACCCTCCCCCCAAAAAAAGTCCCCAGGAGGCCCATGCCCAGACCCCCAACCCCATAAAGACCCCCTGCCCAAGAGAGGCCCCCCTCCTCCCCCCACAGAGACCCCCCAGACCCCTCACAGATCCCCCCAAAAGGCCCCCCACCCCTCCCCACCTGCAGGCGGGGCCCCTCCGGACCCTCCTCCTCTTCATCAGCAGGGCTGGGGGAGGGGAGGGGGATGTCCATTTTGGGGGCTGAGGCTGAGAAACCCCAAAAAAGCCTCCCAAAATCCTTCCCAAAAATTCCAAATCATCCTCCAAGTTCCCCCCAAAAAATTCCAAACCACCCCAAAATTCCCCCAAAACCCCCAAAAATTTCCAAACATCCCCAAACTCCCCCAAATCCCCCCCCAAAATTCCAACCCTCCTCAAAGCAGCCCCAAAACAACCCCACCCCCTCCCGATCCCCCAAACCCCCAAAACCCCCGGACCCCCAAACCCCAAAAAATTTTAAACCATCCCCAGCCCCCAAATCCCCCCCAGGACCCCAAACCCCCCAAATTTCCCTTCCTGCCCCTCCCCCAAATTCGGGGTCTCACCTCGGTGCTGCCGCCGCAGCCCCACGAGCACGACCCCCAGGCCCAGGTAGGCGACCCCAGAGCCCCCAGGGACCCCCAGAGACCCCCAACCTGCGGGGGAGGGCAGGGTCACCTCCGGGACCACCCCCCAAAAAATATCCCCCTAAAATCCCACCGAAATTCCCCCCTAAAATCCCACCAACATACAGGAAAATCATCCCAAAATTCACCCAAGATACAAGAAAATCACCCCAAATTCACCCAAAATACACGAAAATCATCCCAAGATTCACCCAAAATCCCCCCAAAATCACCCCCAAAACACCACGAAAATCGCCCCAAATTCACCCAAAACATCTCCCAAAAATCTCACCCAAAATCCCCAAAAATCCCACCGAAACACACGAAAATCACCCCAAATTCACCCAAAATCCCCCAAAATCTCACCCAAAATCCCCCCAAAAATTCCACCCAAAATACACGAAAATCATCCCAAAATTCACCCAAAATCCCACCCAAAAGTCCAACCCAAAATACACGAAAATGACCCCCAAATTCAC